AAAAAAAAAAAAAAAAAAAAAAAAATTAAAAAAATTGCGAGGCTCAAGGTCTCGATACACCCTACTGGGCCCTATTTTCAGTACAGTCGGCCGCCCTAAGTGAAGGCAGGCTCGACCAAGGCCTGCCCATTTTTGGGGTCACCACGCAACTGCGGAAATTCAGGCAGTTGCGGAGCGCCAGTTGGTTGAGAGCGCCCAGGCCCAGGCTGCCTTTTCCGGATGTAACTGCGGCAGGCCTTGGGCCAGATACGCAACATGGGCCGAACACAGGCTGCGGGCAGTTGGGCATAGGTAACCACCACAGGCCCTGGGCCTGATTCATTCGGACTGGGGCTCAGCCTCACGGGGCCTACCGGAAGCTTCTGGACCGAGGCCCAATGCAGGCAGGCCGCACGCAGCAGGCAGGTCACTTCCATTTAGGAAAGTGCCTGCCCCAGCACTCCTCATTCGGGCACTGGCTGCATGCTGCGCAAGCGCTGCTGCGCTATACGCTGCCCAGCGCTCACGCGCTCAAAGCGAGCTGGATGAGCAGGCAGCCATAGCCGAGCTGCGCTGCTGTATGCTGGATGGGCGCATGGTGGTCCTTGGGTGCACGTGGCATCTATGAGTGGGGGATCGAGGTTGTGAGTGATACGAGAGACATACCTCGTGCTTGACGCAAACGGCATTGGCCGAGATCTGCTCGTACTTCGAGAAGCTGTTGAAGTCACCAACGGCATTGTAGATAGGCTAGATAGGATCTGCCATTTGTAGTCTGGGCATAGAGCGCCAGATAGGATGTCGAGATTGGTTCTTTGTTGATGATGATGAGACTATTCCAACATTGTCACATATGAGCTTTTGCTGTGCTCTTATTTGGTGGAACTTGTGTTGCAATTCTGCTCTTGGTTCGAGGTCACGACTATCTGGTCTCATGTGTCTGATGCTGCTTGGTTTTCTGAAGTTCGCTATCGCTCATTTTCCGTGCAATTTTGTATCGGAGTTGTGGTACGGTGCGCTAGTCTGGCGCTTGTCTTCTGCCTACGCGGTACAGCCATGCGGTCTGCTGGGCGAGCGGTCGTAGGGAGTGTGTAGTGAGGAGGGCGAAGGCAAGTAGGGCGACCCAAGAGGTGAGGGGTATCGCCAAGAAGGCTACGTGGTGTATATTGGGTGTTCACAGTGTGATGAGAACTATCTGATGTGCGATTGATGCTGAGGTGGATGTTGGTTGTGCCCAAGCAGCGATTGGTCATCACAGTCGGCATCAGGTCATTTGGTGAGAATATTTGTGGTTGGGGGCAGCTATTTTGAGGTACGTTGCTCTTAACCTTATCTACCCTCTTCGACACTTCTTATCGTGAGGATGTGTGTTCTGTCTTGAGAGTCCTCTCATGTGAGGAGTCGAGTGCGCTCAACCTTGGGAGTCGGCATTGTTCACATGGAGCATCTGGAAGGAGAGGGCGAAGCTATCTGAAGGGCCCTGGATGAAGCACCGGGTCACAGCCACCATGCCAACCCAGCGGGAGTAGAGCAAGCATGCTTTGCTGCTTTGTCCTTTGCCTGCCTGTTGCGCTGATAGATGGGTGATGAGGGGTAGGCCAGCCCTATTGGGGAGACGAGTACCGGGCGTCTCTAAACAAGCACCGGCGGGGTTACCTTCCACTGGCTGTGATCGTCGTCCTGTCTACGATGTTAAATAATTCCTAAGGACTTTGGGGACCGTCCTTAAACGCCTCTTCATCAGCCAGGTGGTCGGCTGCACGCGGGGGCTGGCCAGCTCAGCATACACTCGGGGCATAGGGGTGGGCCGTGTGCACACCTTTAGACACGCACGCTATCTGGATCGCTCAGGGACGCCGACGTCAAGTGACAATCAAGAGGAACTGAGGGAGGGGTAGGTTTCAGGTGATCAGTTCGGGAAAGATTCCACTTTGCAAACAGCCAAACAAATGATTCTATTTTTAATTTTGATTAGTTAGATGTTACAGCCATTGATATCTGACAGACAGCATTAGGTAGATTTCTGCTATCTGTTTGTGGACTAATTAAGTAAAATAGTTTCGTTTGTAGGAATCTGGACTTACCTGTTGGACCCGAATGAATAGTCTCTGACATAGCCACCAATTATTTTAAATTGGTTTGTGCACTATGCTGTGGTAGG